AAATCCATATCTCATATGAGTTAAATGTATCAATTCATGTTTGCCAAGCATTTTGATAGTGTAGTGAAGAGCACTATAGGAAAAGAAATCCAAACCAAAAGAGAAGGAAATGGGGTTTCTGACCTCTAAGTAGAATTTGAATAAAGTGCAATAAATAAAACCTGAAGTCACACATTGAACAATGAAAATAAAATGAAACATTGAAGAGCTACACATTAACTGAGGATTTCTTTTCTGCTCATGAAATAAAACAGTTGGCTGTAGAAAAATATATAGATGTGATTCAATATTTCAGAAGTCTATCATAATTAGTGTTATTCAAAAGATTGGCCACCTGAACAAAACAAAACAAGAAAATGGCTTGAGTTCAGTCCAAAGTCAATCTTTTGTTTATTCTCATCACCTAAATAAGTCAAGCTTAGTTAAATTTTGAAACTAGTTATTATTTTGAATTTATAGTATTTTCTTTTCAAAATGTGAAATCACATTGCTGTGTCTGCTACAAAATTTGAAAGATATTTTTCAGCTGAAGTCTTCATATGGTTTCCTTGTATACCTTCAGTTAACCTGAATTTTTCATTTTTCATATAATAAACTATTTAAATAAGCACTGAATTCACCTGTAGTCCCAGTGGGGGTAGGGAGCCCTGTGAGGGGAAAGCTGAACAACCAACCTGAATCCTGGGTGTTGGAGATTTAGACTCTGAAATATGAGGGATTTGGTCTTTTAACTTAGTTTTGGATGCACAATATAAATGCATCAATTCATGATAGAGGAATACTGGTTAAATGAAATGGCTTTGCAATCCAGGATGTTATATTAGATAATCAGAATCAGCCTTTTCAACTTAAAAAAATCTATTTATATTAGCATTTCAAATTTAGCCTAAGTGTCCTGCTCACTCTTAACATTATATATATAGATTATATGGTTATATAGTGAACTGTTACACTTCAAAACAACAGCAGCAGATTGAGATTAATGTAGTTTTATGGAATGAATAAAGAATGCTCTGCTAGAGGTTTTCTGCTGAAAAATTATATATGAAAATGGAAATGCTGGTCAAGCTGAAACGTGTCCTGAAAGTTCAGTTCTTTGAGTACTGAGTTTTGGTATATTAGGAGGCAAAAATGAGGAAACTGCCATTAAGATAAATGGATGGAGGAAGCTAAAGCAGAAGAAAATGGGGGAAAAAGAGACACCTAGAGCAAAAGACCTTCAGAGGCAATTGGGAAAATCATATCAGTCTAGAGAGAATGTAATATTCAGCTGAAAATTTCACTCTTAACTGGAGGCTGAGAATGGTAGGATATAAGGCCTGAAATACTATGAAATCAGAATAATCTGTTTTCTTTCAATACAAAGGCATTATCCTAAGGTCAGAGCTGATATTTCCCCTTTACAATGTTGGCAGAAAATACCCCAAATATGAGAACATTAAATACAAATTCAAAAATTATTTGTATTCTCATCAGAAACCAGTTAAGTCATTTATGCTTTAATCAATGACTTTGACAATTAATTCTGTGTCCTTTCCACTTCTTTCAAAGTTGAGCTTGGAGATTTTAGTATTTTTATTATATTTGGATGTTTCTTGATAAAGTCTCATGTTGTGAATAACTCAATTACATGAAGAAGACCAATGCTGCAGATTGCAAAGTCATATTTTTTAAAAGAAAATAGATATAAACCCTCCTAAACAGAAGTACCCATCTGACTTCAATCCCTGATACCAGTCCAACAATCAATCACCAGGGGCATTGGACACCCATAATTAGATTATAAAATCATAACTATAGTAATTTTACGTCTGCTTGCATAATTACATCAGCATGCTAATATCCTTTTAATGGTCTCTAATGATGTAATAAGAAATAATGGAATTTATTTGACAGCTACATAACCATTAACAAAACATATTAAGCATAACTATAACTTCCATAAAGACTCAGGCTGTATCCAAAAGTGACAACTAACATGTTGGATCTTATTTTCAACGCTGAAATATTTCTAATTATGAATTCCCTAAATCTATTCCCACTCATCTGCTTCACAGGGCGAGCAAAGTTTATGTCAATGTGAACTTGACAACAAATCAGCTGTAGAGATGGACTGAATGCTCTGCAAGACAAGCCTGGGGATATCCTGTGAACTGTCCTTAAAGCTGGCAGGACTGTGAAAGACAGAAGATAAAATAAGCTACCAAGCACCAGCTAATCAAGATCTAACACAGGGTGTTGGATTCCTATCCATGGCAATTGTTCACTTACCTAACTTCAAAGCACAGGGAAAAACTAAAAATATAGGCAAGAGTGAAAGATATTTGCAGATAAAACTAACTAAAGGCAGTAATTTATTAGAGAAGCAGTTCCTTTACATTTTCTTTGTTTGTTTTGGTTTGGTTTGGGGAGGGGGGG